CTTCAGACAGAAATATTTCTTAAATGTTTATCAGCTCTTGAAAACCGCAGATAATTTCAGGCTGTAAATTTTGTAGTAAATCCTGATCCCAAGTAAATAAGAGACAAAAGGATAAAGAAAACCAAAACTTTTTAGTAGAGAGAGAAACAAACACTGAGATGGAATTAAAAGAAATGCTAACTAGAAATCATTATAATGAAGATTTTGCATCCCTGCATGAAAGCTGCAGGATTTCCCCAACTTTTTATGCATGTCTCACTCACCATAAATTTTAAAAGCATAATAAGCTTTCAAGTCTCTGGGAGCCATTTCACTTAGCACTGAAAACATGTCCAGAAAATTATCCAAAGTCATGTTGCCGTCCCCGTGCTCCGAGAACACCTCTGCAATCCGCTGCCGGAACGGGTTGTCCTGGGAAACAGAGGAGCAAGGGGAGGTCATCCTTACCAGCATTGATTTCAGTGCAGATGAGGCAGTTGGAGCGAGATTGTTTTTGTTGAAACCTCTTTTTGGCAAACTCTCCCCCTTTCTGCCATTCTGTTTGTGTCAGAGGCAGCCGCAGCTGCGGCCGCTTTAAACTCTGTGCGGTTTCAGGGTGTTTTCTGGGAATCACTGGAAGCTTCCAGAAAGACTTCTGCCGTCAGTAACCCAAATTTATTTGTATGTCAGGCTCCCAGCAATTAGTCCTGGATGAATTATTAAAATAGGGCAGATTAAGCTGCAGTGTGTCACTCGAGTCGTGTGCCTGGCTCGTACCTTGAGCTCTGGCATGCTGGCAATGAGCTCGTAGGGCAGTGTCACAGCTGGTTTGTCTGTGTAGTCGAGGGGAACGAGCTGAGGGGCCAGATCTCGGTACCTGTAAAACAGCCTGAGGCAGAAAGAAAGGCTTGTTTGGTGAATGAGTCCTTCAGACCTCTGAGAACAAGGTGTTTGCCTCTTCCACCTCACTTTGCACTCTTTTCTTCCATTACCAGGTGGAGATCGGTCACTAAGTAACATATATGTTATATATATATTATATATCACAGAATATTCTGAGCTGGAAGGGACCCACAGGGATCATGGAGTCTAATATGTATCTAATATATATCTAATATATATCTAATATATAGATTATATATATCTATATTATAGATATATAACAAGTATATCTATAATATATCACAGAATCATTATGTTGGTGGTGGAAGAACCAGTATTGAGAGCAACACGGTGTAACTGGTGAAAAATACTAAGTTTCATTCTAGAACAATGAGGTGAAAATGCTTACACAGCTCATGCAGCCAAACCCCTTCCCACCTGTATCCAAACCCACATTTAACAGTGTCAGGTTTATTCTACAGAGGTGTTCAGGCACGTGGAGTCACTGGGATGTGTGTTCATGATAACAAGGCACAAGACCTTCAACCTGAAGGTCCACCTGATTTGTTTCCAAACACAGAAATGCTGGTGGCAAGGTAGAAGGGATCTGTTTGCACGGTGTGGCCAAAAAACAACGGGCTGAAACCGGAGCGTGAAAAATTCGGTTTAAACGTCAGAATAAAACCTGAAGTCGTGGGCAGGGAGAGAGATCTGGGATCCACCCTAACAGGATTTTACCCATCCAAAGTATCTTCCTGTTCTTCCACAGAACTCAGGTTCAAGAGACAGAAAATGTGCATCAGGATTGGAATGCATTGACCACTTTTTCAGCGTGTCTTTGCTTTCTTCTGGCGCTAGAGAAAGGATCCCGTTCACAGCTGTTACCAACAAAACAATAGGAGAGAATTTTAAAAGGGATCCTTATCAATAATAAATGTCTTAATTCATGACATAGTTATGGTTCTGGCCTCTGTTTCCTGTGGGGAAAGGAGGCAGATACAGATTCCAGTTTTTACAGAACCACTCCTGGTTTATCCTGTCTAAAATCCACACGCAGATGTCAGGGGTCTGAAGTTCTGTACAAAACTGTCCCCTGTGCTCTGCCCTTCAGAGAAACTGCCAAAAAAACACGTGTGGTGGCATCTTGAGAGCAGAGAAATGGAACAATTCCCTTTCTGTTCACACACCCAAGGGTCAGGGAGGGCAAACAGAGCTTCAGTATTGTGTATGTTACTGTCTGGGTGAGTATTTCTTACAAGAGGAGAAGTTCAGGTTTTCAGTGAAGACTCTCAGTCCCACTCCTCATCTTGTCTTTATCAGAACCTTTGGCCAGAGATTAAATGGAGAGTTCAGTGAGGCACATGAAGGGGGGAAATGCACTTTGAAGCAGCAGTGTAATTATTTATAAGCAGACATGAAGAAAACTTGACACAATCATTAAGGATTTATGAAAATCAGGCCAAGTATTCCAAAGGATAACAGTATATTTTGAAGCATCTGTCATAAAACAATGTGAAACGTGGATGTTGCTGGCAAAGTATCCACTAAATATAAGTTGTTACATTTACTTCTGATAAATAAAGAGGGACTGGTACATAAATACAAAATTCAGAATTCTGTCTCAGTTTAGGATAGATAACACAGAGTTTGTACATTAAAAAAAAAAAAAAAAAATGAAAATACTAAGATTGCCCAAAGGTATCACTTTAAAAACAATTTTAAAATAGATTTATGCAAATTTAAAATATCTCACCCTATATGTAGCCTGCCTTTATAGCAATCTATGTCCTTTACCCACAGAATGCACACAGAATACTCACCTCAGGATTTCTTTCCTTGTGAAAAATGTGCAGTCCTGTGAAACAAGAAAAGATAAAACATGTAATGAGTTTTTAGCATGCATTGGCCCAAACTTTTCCTGTACAGTGACTTAGATGAAGTTATATTGTAAAATACGTAACTAAGCATCAAAGCTCTCTTTTTGGCATAAAATGAGAAGTATTTCATAACTGTTCTTCTTGAGATAAAGATCAAACTATATCACTAAAATCTGTGGTGTAATTCAGTACTTCTACTTATTAATTTTTAAAAGAGATTGTTAAAAAAAAAAAACACCTTTACCATTATTCAGCGTTGTGTTCAAACAGCCATTTAGTTTGGTTTATACCTGATATGCATCCAGTTGCTCTTGAGTGAAAATGGTTTGCTTATTGCCCATTTCGAGCTGGGAATGGCGACTTTTTTCCCATCCTTCTTTCCCCAAAGGCACCTTTATAGGTCGTCTGGATATTCGGTTATTAAAAGCTGCAACAATGAGGTTCAGGTACAGCAGAGGATCAGGTAACCAACTTCCACAGGCTGCAAAGTATCATAACAGGAGCATTTCATCAAATCTTTAGTCTGGCTGCTTGAGGCTCTTATCCAGCAGCACTCACCTGTCTCCTGTGAGCACCACAAAGACTCGGGTTACAGCATTTAGCAGAACAACTAATAGCTGCTCATTAGTGCCTTTGAGCAGCAGGTATTCTTGTATCCTGTTTTTCATGCCCTCAGATACGGCAAATTAACTGAAAAGTGTTAGTAGTATTTTCCTTCTTTGAGAATTAACACCGAATGCTGGAGATTTGGTAACCACTCCTTCCTTTCCTTCTCATCCTTCATAGAATAATTAAGGTTGGAAAAGCCCTCTAAGATCAGAGTCCAACCACCAACCCAGCACTGCCAAGGTTACCACTAACCCATGTCCCCAAGTGCCACAGCCAAGTTTTATGGACACTTCCAGGGATGGTGACTCCACCAGTGCCCCGGGCAGCCTGTGCCGGTGTTTTCCCTTCGTGCACATTGTGTGCTGCTAATGGTAGTTTGTACTGGAGGTAGTATCCATAAATTATTTACACACAGAAGTTCAGAGTTAGTCCCTTTCCAAGTACAGCCCCTCTCTTATTAGGATTATTTAGTAATTTCCGTACAAATTACGTAACCCCAGTGAACCTCTCCACATTCTCAAGGGATGGGTCTGCACCTGGGCAGGGTCTTTTTGACCTATAAGCGTGATTTTAATATTATAACGAAGATAGTTCAGCTCTAGGATACACAGACCTTAAGTCTTTTGCCAAGTTAGCCATGTTTTCATAGACATCCATCACCATCTTGATTTACTACATCCTTAAATCTTGTTAGTTCCCAGATGTCCTTGACTAAGGGATGCTCCTGATGCTCGTTGCAATCATTAGGTCTCCTCCCTTGCTGATCAGGCTTAAAAGTACATAAAGAGCGTACACCAAAAAACATCCTGCCTTTAAGAGAATCTTGACATATTCCACATATTGCGACAGTCCCGCCCCGGTTCCCCTCACGGAGGGTCGGACGAGGCTCATTCTATCCCGGTTTCCCTCACTGAGAGGGGCGGACAGGGCTCGTTCCCGGTTCCCCTCACGGAGGGAGCGCACGGGGCTCGTTCCCCGTTCCCCTCACGGAGGGGCAGAAGGGGCTTGTTCCCGGTTCCCCTCACGGAGGGGCAGAAGGGGCTTATTCCCAGTTCCCCTCACGGAGGGAGCGCACGGGGCTCGCTCCCCGTTCCCCGTTCCCCGTTCCCCTCACGGAGGGAGCTCACGCGGCTCGCTCCCCGTTCCCCGTTCCCCTCACGGGGCTCGTTCCCCTCACGGAGGGAACGCACGGGGCTCGCTCCCCGTTCCCCGTTCCCCTCACGGAGGGAGCGCACGGGGCTCGTTCCCCGTTTACCCTCACGGAGGGAGCGCAAACGGGGCTCTCCCCGTTCCCCTCACGGAGGGAGCGCACGGGGCTCGTTCCCCGTTCCCCTCACGGAGGGAGCTCACGGGGCTCATTGCCCGTTGTCTGTTCCCCTCACGGAGGGAGCTCACGGGGCTCGCTGCCAGTTTCCCGTTCCCCGTTCCCCTCACGGGGCTCGTTCCCCGTTCTCCTCACGGAGGGAGCGCACGGGGCTCGTTCCCCGTTCCCCGTTCCCCTCACTGGGCTCGCTGCCAGTTCCCCTCACGGAGGGAGCGCACGGGGCTCGCTCCCCGTTCCCCGTTCCCCTCACGGAGGGAGCGCACGGGGCTCGCTGCCAGTTCCCCTCTCCCCGGCCGCGCCGTTGCGGCGGTGCCGGCAGAGGGCGCGGGCGCGGCCGTTCCGCCATGGCGGATTACGAGGCGGTGCAGCGCGGGGCCGCTGAAGCTTGAAGGGCAGCGGAGGGGGCCCTGGGGCCGGCAAAACGGTGAGGGGGGGCGGGGGAGAACCCGGGGGAGGGGGGAACCGGGGGCGGTGAGGGAAGACCGGAGGAACAGGCGGACACCCACCCCCGGGGCCGGGCGCTGACCGGACTGTGTCCGCAGGAAGAAGAAGAAGGCGAAGGAAAAGGCCCAGATCCTGGAGCACATCGTGAGCAGCAAGAAGCAGGAGGAGGAGAAGAAGCGCGGGCTGGACAAGCGGACCCCGGCGCAGGTGGCCTACGAGAAGATGCAGGAGAAGCGGGTAAGGCTTTAAAAACCACCCCCGTCACCCCTCGGGTGCGGCCGCTGAGGGGCCCCGAGTGCTCGGAGTAACCGGCCCCTCCGTGTCTCCCGCAGCAAATGGAGCGGATCCTGAAAAAAGCCTCGAAAACCCACAAGCAGAGAGTGGAGGTGAGCGAAGTCACCCCGAGTCCCTCGGAGCGTGCTTATTATTGTTGGGCTGGGGGAACTATTTCACTTTGTGAAGCACAGGCAGGGGGTCTTGTGGTTCGACTTGGTGATGTCAGCACCAAATGTTAAAACGTTTTCTTTCTCTTTTCCTCCCCCAGGACTTCAACAGGCACTTGGATACTCTGACTGAGCATTACGACATTCCCAAAGTCAGCTGGACTAAGTGACTGGGCTGCTTGTCACGGGCTCTGGAGCAGGAGTTGTGTTTTGTTTGTATCAAGCAAGGGTTGCCATGTAAATGTGTGTGTTCTCTATATTGTCTAATATATCTTCTGAGCGTTTTATGACTTTGTCCTGTCTTATTTTATAGCTTTGCTTGTTAAAGCCAAATGTCCAGCAAAGGCTCCTCTTGGCTGAGGAGATCTGGTTTATGTGGGTGCAGAGGGCTAGTTTTTTAGTGTTTAAAATGAGATTAAGGCCAAAATTAATTGCTGCAAGCCAGCTGGAAAATGTTCCTTTATTTGTTCTCCTTTTTGGAAGCGAAGAGTCTGACAGTCTCATATTTAAGTTTCTTTTGTAAGTTATGGGAATTGTAAAATTCCTTTCTATCAAGTTCTTTCAGAGGTGATGTTGCAAAGTGTGGAGTATGTAAAATTTTCTTAAGGAAGGATGTTCTTTCATGTTTGATCTTTGTACACTTTTAAACCTAATCAACAAGAGGGGAGATTTAATCCAGGGAAGAGAGGGCAGCCAACAAGTTGTCAGTGATGTCCAAGTTTTGATAGTTGGGGTGCTGGATTTGTGGAATACACTGAGCACCCAAGCTTGGCAACTTTGGAATATATAATCAGTGTCTCTCTTGAGTATTGCACTCGAGGTAACAAATATGATTTTGTGGACAACAGTATTTCTATTCAGACTTCTTTCAGAGGTGAGGGGTCTGCTGCAACTTGTAACTTTGATATAACTTATTAAAGCGCTGGTTTCATCCTTTTTTTTTTTTTTGGTGCTGATTTACATATAAAATCGGGGCGAATTTTGTGTGTGAAGTTCTGGAGGGGCCATGCCTGCCTTTACAATTCTCACCCCCTGTGAGGGACGACACATACCTCGACATTCAAAATCCTGTCACTCCTCTTCAGTTGGAATACTGGAATAATCAGACTATTGGGATAATCGGAATATTGTTTTTAACCCGAATTTGGTCCCTCTGGTTGAGCCAGGGGAGCTCAGTGTGGTTCCCACCTCAGCCTGGACAGACCCTCGTTCCTTTCCGGGGTCTGTGCCAGCACTATGGGGGAAAACACCTCACCCCGCTGTGCCAGCGCTACCGGACCATTCATTCCCAGCGGGAATAAAACTGGGGAAAACATTCTGGGACTATTTAACAGCACTCCTCTGATTACGATGTCCTTCCGCTCCCGCGGTGCTCCGCGTGTACCTCTGCGCGGAGGCGCGGCCTGTCCCGGGCGGTGACGTCACTTCCGTCGGAACCGCCGGGGGAAGCGGAAGGGAAGGGGAGCGGGCGGGACGCGGCCCGGGCGGGCTCGGGGCGATGTCGGCCAGCGCCGTGTATGTGCTGGACCTCAAGGGGAAGGTGAGGCCTGGCCGCGGGGGCTCTGCGGGGCCGGGGGGGAGCGGTGCCCCCGGGGACCCTCCGCCTTCTGAAGGGCCCGCCGCGGTGCTCGAAGGGCTGCGAGGCCCTGCGCTCCCTCCCCGCCACCGCCGCGCCGCCACCCCCGGCTGTCCCCGAGGTTCCACCACCCCGGCACAGGGCACTCGTGGCCTGTGTCCCCTCGCGATGCTGAGTGAGGCAGCGCGGCCCGCGGTTATTAATCTCTGCCTGAGAGGAGCTCCTTGTTTTCCCCTCTTCAAATCATTGTTGGGGCGCGAGCAGCGATAAGGAATAACCGTGGGAAGAGTTAATGCGCGACTTCGCAGTGAAATATCGGTATTTGCGTCCTAATCAGCAAAAGTATTTTGGCGGCGTGATTTGCGTGCAGAGAGACTCGAGGGAAGCAGAGCGATTTTAGAGAGGCCTTGTGTGTTTTTCTTGCGTGCTAACACCCTTATAAAAGAGAAAAAAACCAAGGTGCTCTCTCCGTAGGTTCTGATCTGTCGGAATTACCGCGGAGATGTGGACATGTCAGAGGTGGAGCATTTTATGCCGATCCTTATGGAAAAGGAGGAGGAGGGGACGCTTTCCCCTATCCTAGCACACGGAGGAGTTCGTTTCATGTGGATTAAACACAACAACCTGTATCGTATCCTTTGAGCTGCTGAAAGAAAGGCCAAGGGCTGCTCTTATTTTCTCTAGTGACAAAGTGCAAGTTGGAGAATGGCTGAAGTCACATAAGATGAAAAAAAATTTGGTTATCTAATAAAGTTGGTTAAATAAAATAGGTTATATTAAATAAAGTTGATGTATACTTTACATAATGTAATGTGCACCAGCAGTATAAGGTGTTTATATTAATTTTACTCTAATAAATTATTTCCTGGAGGTTTATTTTCCCATCTCCTTAGATCAGAGGTGCTGTTAAATAATTAACTCTTAGTTTTTCTGGCCAGCTCTAATTGCTTAGAGGCTTTTTGAAATGCACTTAGGAAACCTTTTTTTCTTTTTTTTTTTTGAATGCACTTTTCCTGAACATCCTTTATCAGTTGTTGCAACATCTAAGAAGAATGCATGTGTATCACTCGTGTTTTCATTTTTATATAAAGTAGTTCAGGTGAGTATGAAATCTTGGAAGTAACCTCTGCTTTCAGTTCAGTCTAAATCTGACCTCAGATAGAAGTGCAAAGAGCTTTTGCATTTTTAAAGAACTCTGACAATAGCATTTTTACTTTATATTTGATTATTTTGTAGAACTATCTCCCTAACCACTAAAAAAAGGCACTGATATTTTGTAGCTGAGTAGGCAAAGGATGGGGCAAAGTGCTGTAAGTAGTTGCACAAGACCTGAGCACCCAGAGGAGAATTGTGAAGTGGTGCATGAGTAGTGGTGCGTCACAATAGAACCTGTGTTCCGTTCATCTCTAACCTGCTGTGAAAAATATTTCCTCCAGAATAAATATTTTTCATCACAGAGTTCCTCCTGGGATTGTTTCTCTCTTGAGTTTTAATGGAGGTGGGTTCCCTGATGCTGTTTGTGGAGTTTGGGGTTTGGTTTGGAGCTTTCTAAAATGGTTATTTCGGGTGCAGGAATACATTCTGTGCGTGCTCTGCTTGCTCAGTTCATGTTCTTCTTCTCCCCCTCCCTCCTGTCGTTTTGTTTCAGGTTTTTTCTGAATATTTCAAGGAGTTGGAAGAAGAGAGCATTAGGGATAATTTTGTTATTATTTATGAGTTGTTAGATGAGCTTATGGATTTTGGGTATCCACAAACCACTGATAGTAAAATTTTACAAGAGTAAGTACCATTCTGCATCACGGTGACAAAGCCCTCGGAGAGTTTTGAGCATTCTTCTGTGGGCAAACAAATGTTTGGCTTGTTCTGAGTGTCGAAAAAAGATTAATTTTCATTTTTTTCATGCCAACCCTGTGGCTGGTGAAGGTACATCACTCAGGAAGGTCACAAACTTGAAACTGGAGCCCCACGCCCACCTGCCACTGTTACAAATGCTGTTTCATGGAGATCAGAAGGCATAAAATACAGGAAAAACGAGGTGTTCCTGGATGTCATAGAGTCTGTTAACCTTTTGGTGGGTACCTTGAACTTGAACTCTTAATGAGAATTGGAGTGGGAAGTTTTATAAAGAGCTTTTTTGTATGAAAGTCTGCAATAAAAGGTCAGACTGACTGTGGCTGGTGTGCTGTGCCACTCAAAGCAGCATCAGTCATTAAGATTAAGTGGTCTCAGGGACATCCAGTACAAATAATCCTTTAATTGTTTGTACTGATGATTTTTGAATATGTCTTTTCCTTCTCTGTGCCATCACTTCCCTGATCTAACTCTGCTGTGCTGGATTAATTCCTCAGGAGAAACACATCCAAGAAAACCCCGGGGCGTGGGGATGGGGTGGGAGTGTTGCTTGGTGTCCCAACATGCCACATCAGAGCAGTGTTACCTTTCTGTGCCTCCTTGTCCAGGTGAGTGCCAACGGGAACGTGTTACGGAGCGAGATCGTGGGCTCCATCAAGATGCGGGTGTTCCTGTCGGGAATGCCGGAGCTGCGCCTGGGGCTCAACGACAAAGTGCTCTTTGACAACACGGGCCGTGAGTGTCCTGGGGGTGCTGTGATAATCAGGAGAGGTGGGATCTGGAGCCTGAGGCCTGGGCATAGCAAGGAAATCACAGAATCGTTAAGGCTGGAAAAGCCCTCTGAAATTAAGTCCGAGCATTAACCGACACCGCCAGTAAACTCTGTCCCCAAGTGCTGCATTCACATGGCTTTTAAATCCCTCCAGGGATGGCGACTCCACCACGTCCCTGGGCAGCCCCTTCCAATGCCAGACCAACCTTCCAGTGAAGAAATTCTTCCTGATGTCCAGCCTGAACCTCCCCTGGCACAATTTGAGGCTGTTTCCTCTCATCCTGCCTCTTGTTCCCTGGGAGCAGAGCCTGACTTCCCCTGGCTCCCCCCTCCTGTCAGGGAGTTGCAGAGCCAGAAGGTCCCCCCTGAGCCTCCTTTTCTCCAGGTTGAGCTCCCCCAGTTCCTTCTGCTGCTCCTGGTGCTCCAACCCCTTCCCCAGCTCCATTCCCTTCTCTGGACATGCTCCAGCCCCTCAAAGTCATTCTTGTCATGAGGGGCCCAGAACTGGACACAGGATTCGAGGTGTCTCAGCAGTGCCCAGCACAGGGGGACAATCCCTTCCCTATTCCTAGGAAGTGTTGGCTAGAAGGGAGGACTGTCAGCAGGCAGCAGCTTTGCTGTGGTGAGACTTGGGCCACAGTTCGTGCAGGACCTTGACCTGTGGTGTTTTCTGCCAGGTGGGAAGAGTAAATCAGTAGAGCTGGAAGACGTGAAGTTCCACCAGTGCGTTCGTCTCTCCCGCTTCGAGAACGACAGGACCATCTCCTTCATCCCCCCCGACGGGGAGTTTGAGCTCATGTCCTATCGTCTGAACACCCACGTGAGTCTGGGGGTTTGCTTTTTGAAGGGAGAGTGCTTTAAATTGTAGCCACAATGGCTTTCCCTTAATTTTTTTATTTTTTTTTTTCAAATCTTGGGCAGTACAAGAGTTTTTAAGTCAACTGTTAATAGTTTGCTCTTTTTGGAGGAAAAAGGAGTTAAGAAGTAACTTGGCAATAAGTCTCTGTATTTTCAACTACTATTCAGTAGTTTTTAAATACTCTTGACTTTTTAATGTTTTCTAAATACTCTGTTTTTTTCATCTAACT